GCTTTCTGGCCGCCTCTTCCACTTGACAAGATATTCCGCGTAGCTTGGGTGAACACCACGCCTAGGCACAACACGATGAGCCAAGATCTCCTCCACTTCGTGCTCATGTGTTGTGGTGACGAGAGTTGGTGCCATCGTCGACTCCTTCCGCGCTCCATCTTCCTTGTCTTCATGATATGCCTTCAATTGACTCACATGGAAGACGGGGTGAATCTCCAAGTGCGATGGCAACTCGACTTTGTACGCCACTGTGCCAATCCACTTCAAGATCGGATATGGCCCTTCATATCGTTGCAGCATCTCCTTGTGCACATTTTTTAGGTGCTTGAATCAATGAGGGAAGAACTTCACCATCACCAAGTCTCCCTCTTCGAATTCCAAGTGACGTCGCTTTTTATCCGCCCACTTCTTCATCTTCTTCGCTCGAGCGAGATAAGACTTTGCCAACTCCATCTTCTCGTGCCACCCTCGTGCAAACTTGTAGCCAGATGGGTTGTTGCCCTTGTACCCCGTCGTCATCGTATTAGGTGTCAACGGCTGTTGCCCGGTAGCCAACTCGAACGGAATCATGCTCGTGGCTTCACTTTAGTGTAAGTTGTAGGAGAATTGGGCTACATCCAATAGCTTCACCCAATCCTTCTGGTTGGCACTCACATAATGCCTCAAGTAGACCTCCACCAAAGCATTTACCCGCTCAGTTTGCCCATCCATTTGAGGATGAAAGCTCGTGGAGAAGTTTAGATCGGAGCCCATCATCTTGAACAACTCCCTCCAAAACTTGCCGGTGAAGCGGCCATCTCTATCGCTGACGATGCTAACCGGGATTCCCCAGTACTTCACAACGTGCTTGAAAAACAAGCGGGCTGCATCCTCGGCCTTCATGTCTTTGGGCCCCGCGATGAAGACGCCATACTTCGAAAATTGGTCGACGACGACCATGATGGAACCACACCCTTCGACTTTGGGAAGGCCGATGATGAAATCCATGCTAACGTTTTCCCAAGGCCGTTGTGGAGTGGGTAATGGCTCCAACAAGCCCGCCGGGCTTCGCTGCTCCATCTTGTCTTGCTGGAAAACAAGACAAGTCTTGACGTAGAGTTCCACGTCGTCCTTCATGCGAGGCCAATAGTAAGCCTCCTCGATGAGAGCTTGTGTGCGCTCGATGCCGGGATGACCAGCCCACTTGGAGTCGTGGCACTCCTTCATGATCTCCCTTCGTAGGTTGTCCCACCGCGGCACGAACACTCGCTTGCCCTTGGTCACGATGAGTCCGCCTTTCATCCAAAACCGTTGAGTCTTCCCTTTCTTGATGTACTAGACCACGGATTTGGCGAAGGGGTCGTGGCTAAGGCCTTCTTCAATCCTCTCCTTCAAGGGGAAATGCGGCTGGCTGATGGCGGCAAGTGCGCTCTTTCGGCTAAGAGCATCGGCAACAAAGTTGGCTTTCCCCGGCTTGCACTCCAACACAAAGTCGAACTCCGCGAGGAAATCTTGCCACCTTGCTTGCTTGGGCGTGAGCTTCTTCTGTGTGAGGAAGTAACTCGTCGCCACATTGTCCGTTTTTACAACGAACTTCGACCCAAGCAAGTAATGCCTCCACGTTCTCAAACAATGGACCACCGCCGTCATCTCCTTCTCTTGAACCACATATCTCCTCTCGGCCTCATTGAGCTTGCGGCTCTCAAATGCAATTGGGTGTCCCTCTTGCATCAACACTCCACCGATTTCAAAATCGGAAGCATCCGTTTGCACTTCATATGCCTTGGTTGGATCGGGAAGTGCTAGCACTGGCTCCTTCCTCACCGCATCCTTCAAGGCTTCAAATGCTTCGCGGCACCGATCCGACCATTCCCAAGCCTTGTTCTTCTTTAGAAGATCCGTCAAGGGTGCTGCAAAGAGAGGAGTATCCCTTGATGAATCTCCTATAATAGTTAGCCATGCCGAGGAATGATAGTAACTCGGTGACCCTCGTTGGCGGCTCTCATCCTTGTATCGCCTCCACCTTGGCTTCGTCCATCTTTAGCTTGCCTCCGCCAATGATGTGGCCGAGGAAAGGAACCTCCGCGGATGCAAACGTGCATTTCTCCTTCTTGACGTAGAGCTTGTTGTCTCGAAGGACTTGGAACACTTGTCGTAAGTGCTCGGCATGTTCATCGAGTGTGTTGTTGTACACCACGATGTCATCCAAATACACCACCACGAAGCGATCCAAGAACGGCTCGAATACTTGGTTCATCAAGGTGCAAAAAGTAGTAGGAGCGTTGGTTAGACAAAAGGCATAACTAAGAACTCATATGAGCCATACCTCGTCACGCATGTTGTCTTCGCCTCATCCCCCTCGGCTATCCTCACTTGATAGTATCCCGAGCGAAGATCAAGCTTCGTGAACCACTTTGCTTCTCCGAGTTGATCAAACAAGTCGCCAATATTGGGGATTGGCCACTTGTTCTTCACCGTGAGCTTGTTAATAGCTCGATAATCGATGCACATTCGCAACGAACCATCTTTATTCTTCTGGAACAAAACGGGTGCTCCATAGGGGGATTTCCACGATTGGATGAAGCCAGCATCCATCAACTCCTTGAGTTGCTTCCTCAATTCCTCCAACTCTGGAGGGGCCATGCGATAAGGTGCTCTCGCTGGTGGCGTCGCCCCTTGCTCAAGCTCGATCTTGTGATCGACTTCTCTTCTTGGCGGGAGCTTCTTTGGTATTTCCTTTGGCATCACATCCACGAACTCCTCCAACACGCCCTCGATGAGAGGTGTTGGCGCCACCGAGCCTTCTTCTTCCTTCGCTCGCAAAGTGACAAGGAACGTGGGTTCCATCTTCTTCATTCCCTTCACCAATTGCATGGCCGATAAAGCTCTCTTCGGCCCTTCTTCGCGCAACATCTTCACCGTGCAAAATTTATCTCCCTTGTCAAGGCAGAGAGTGTTGGACTTCATTGCCATCACCGCGCCCACTTTCTCCATGAAGTTGACGCCAAGAATGACCGGATGGTCGTCCATAGTGATGACGCTAAAGTCGGCAGCACCTTCCCAACCTTCGATCTTCAAAGGCACGTTCTTGGAAACACCATGGATGGGTATAGCCTTGGAGTTGACGGTCTTGAGAGATCCTTGCCTCTTCTCGTAAGTGATCCCCAAGCGCTCTGCCTCCTCCAATCGAAGGAAATTGTCGGTCGCACCGGTGTCAACCAATGCTTTTGACTCGCCTCCCTCGAATTGGGTGATCACAAAGAATCTCCCCTTGCTAACTTCGTTGACGCCGGACTTCGCCGCGCCTAGCCTCCGCATGGAGCATATCTTCCCTTCGTCTTCCCTAGAATTTTCCTTGGTCCCCCCTTCTTGTTTCTCGAAGGCCGCTAGCTTGATCTTCTTAAAGGAAACCATACATGGGTTTGTCAAAGTTACCAGATCTTGCTCCCTTGCTCGAGCCTCCATGTTGGTACGAGCCTTTTCCTTCCTTGGAGTGCTGCCGATGATCTCCTCCTCCTTTGATCTTCGAGTTCTTCGACTTGTTCGGCCTCTCATTCTTCTTGTACTCTGTGAGAGCCTCTGCCGTTGCCAAAGCAGTAGCAAGATGTTGCACTCCACGCCTCTCGAGCTCCAACTTTGCCCAAGGCTGCAATCCGAAAAGGAAGCCAAACAAAGCCTCTTTGTACGGAAGATCGGGAATCTCGAGTAGCAATTCCGAGAACTCCTTGACATAGTCACGAATTCCGCTGGTGTGGGTGAGTCGTCGAAGCTTTGCACGAGCCTCCATTTCCACATTCTCCGGGTAGAACTGCCTCCTGATTTCCCGGCGGAAATCCTCCCATGTGTCGATCACACATGTGCCTCTCTCTATATCACCTTGCCTCCTCCTCCACCACACCATGGCCATGTCGACCAAGTAAAGGGAGGCGGTGCGCACCATGACTTCATTGTCATCGATGCCCGAGGCCTTAAAATATTGTTCAAGGCTCCAGAGGAAATTCTCTAATTCCCTCGCGTTCCTCGACCCACTGAAGTTCTTTGGCCTTGGAACATCTACTCGTGGAGTAGATTGAGTTGCGGCAGGTCCATTAGCCACGGCTCTTTTGACGAGATTGAGCTCTCCTCTAAGCTCGTCAAATTCTTCCCTCACTTCATCCACCTGGCCTCGAACGGTCTCCCTCAAGGAGTCGATGGCGTTGGTGATGATGGTCAAAAACTCGTTTCTATAAAGCTTCTAACCCCACCTCCAAGCCTGACATTCGAGCGCCCATGCCTTGCATGTCGTCCTTCGAAGTCTGCACCTCTCCGCTGACTTGATCGAATTTCGACTCCATGTCCTCGAACAAGGTTGTATGCTTGGCAATCTTCGTCTCCGCTCTTTTGAGCCTCTCCTCGATTGCCACCAAAGGCTCTCGAGTTGATCTATCACGATTCTTCTTGGTGTTTGGATCCTTCTTCTCCTCACGACCGCGTTGTTGCTCATTGTCGAGAACTTCGCTTCCGCATCCAGCCATCTCTTCGAGGTTCTTTCTCACTTGCTGAGCTACGACCTTGGCTCTGATACCACTTGTCACGGACCAACTCTTGGCCGTGCGGCATTTAGCACTCAAGTCTCTTTAGAGCGCTAAGTCATCCTTGCTCGTATTCACTCAAACTCACAAGTATGGAGAAAAGCTCTAGAGATGGAAACTCTCAATTTCTGGATGATGAAAAGTGATGGAGAGGGTTGCTTATATAGGCATCCTCTCCACTAAGTACAATGTACATGGCCGTCATAAATGAACGAACCTAGAAGTCCCCCCATACATGAACTAGCCCCATACATGAATGTAATAAATAGGTGCATGTATAAAAGATAGGAAAGGGGGATGTATGTACATTGGTGCATGAATCGCAAGATGCATGCATGTATCTACATTCTTCTAGAATTCTCTAGAATCTTCCGCGTAACACCACCCCTGGCCCCTTCCCCTCCCACCCACTACCTTCGTCCTCGGCATTTTCCCATATGGGGTTTTTGCAATGGCTGCTGCTCTTTCTTTAGGAATTCGCCCACTCTCTTTCTCTCAAGAAATAAAGGCCAACCCAGGAGCAGGGGAATCAAAACCCTGTCTCCATCTTCCTACCTCTAAAACTCGAGCTGGTTGTTCAAAGAAAGTAAAGCGACATGATGGACAAAAGAAGAGAACAAACGGTTCGAGAATGCTCTTGCCCTCTACGACAAAGACACCCCCGATTGATGGGCCAAAGTCTACGCCATGGATTGAGTTTTTGGGTCGTTGAGATGGGGAAAGGGAATTGAGGATCTTCAGGGCTTTGGGAGTCGGCGTCATCGTCATCGTTGGAAGGTAGGGGTCCATGTCTCAATCGAATGAATTGAAACGTACGACCTCCACGAGTTCGATCAGAGAAGAAGGAAGATCTAGCAGGATGGGGAAAATAAATCAACGGCCAAATCTAGAAACCCCAATCCCGATCGCAAAGGTTGGAACGACAACTGGCACGGAAGAAGGCAGCTTCTTCTCGATTTACCTCAGCTAGTGGCCACGATGATCGACGACAGATCTTGGTGAGACGACGACGGCGAGGAGGAGATGGGAGGGACGACGAGGAGATGGGAGGGACGAAGAGCTCGAAGCCTTCTTCCTCGACAGCGCACGACGATTCCGGCTTCTCCTTACTCGGCTCAGCGACTGGATTTGAAGAGGGAGGCGGAGCTCGGATGGGGAGTGGGCTTCGGCAGTGCATAAGACGAGATTTTTTAATATTTGGAAAATTAAATCAGATTTATTTGATATGATATTTAAAAAATATATAATTGTCATGTGTGTATGACATGGTTGACATGTGGCATAAAAGTCAAATAAGAGTTGAACGTCGTCTGCTTGACCGTCATTTTAGGTGAAGTTTTATTATAGCTTTGTTACTGGTGTTCTATTAAAGAAAGACTTACAGGGTGAAACTCTATTTTTCGACCGAAGTTCGCAGCCGAAGCCCCCATCTCCAATTCTATGAATAAATTTATAAGAGGATCGGCAGCTACAGAGTAAGAGAAGAATTTCAAAGGGTTGATGTGATGGTTTATTCAATCCTCTATTTTTCTTTTAAAAAAAATCGTTTTGTAGTTAGGAAGAAAGTGAAAGAAAAATAGTATGGTGGATAACTTTAATTTAATACCCACCCTTAAGTTTAAGGATGGAAAATATAATGATGCAATCGAAAGTCGACTTATATGGTTTAGTTGCAACTAAAAAAGTTAAGTGGTTAGTATGCATTCGATATATTTTGAGTTCTTTACCATGACGAAACCAATACTTACGTGGTATCCTATGCAATTAAACCCTGGAGGAAATCCTTCATTTCAAGTCATGTTGCATTTCATGCCAAAATTCAACCTTTACTCCTCGAACCTGGATTTCCAAGGGGAAGACCAAGTGATTTACAGCTGGGATTAATGGTGATACCCCCCCCCCCCCCTCCCCCGGCGTTGAACGGCATCAAATCAACAACTGCTTCCTCTGAATGCAATTTTATTTTTCAAATAGATGTGAAAATTATAAAAAAATTAAATTCATTATTTTTTTTAATTTTCATGTCACACATTTAACGATGTTATTAGAAGAGTTGCCTGTCATATAGCAAAAGTTAACGGAGTTGGACTGAGAGCGATCAAACTTGACATATTTAACAAATTTTGGTTTCCACAAATGTAATTAAATTTTTTTTTCGTTGAATCAGTTGCTTTTATTCCAAGAAAACCGATACAACGAGTCGAGATTTACAGTCCCGCGTGAAAAACAAACTTTCTCTACTACTACATGCTCGAGATATGTATACTATATCACCTACTCAAGACAAAAAGACCATAGATAACCCAGCCTGACCAATGAATCTCTGATCCCTCTGTTCCCACTAGATAGAAATAGCAAGTCCATTTTTACCAAGTCTGCAACCTGTGCTGGGGAACGACCAGGGTAGCCATGAACTACTCCACAACGCTCTTTCCATACCGACGTTACCAGCATACACCAAACCAGAGCGTGCCATTCGCCAACCCTGGTCATTGAAGCCATCATGGCTTCCCAATCAGCATGTAGTAGGAGTTGACAGTTTAGAGAAGCAGCAAGACTACGAGCAAACACACAATGAACAAAGAGATGATCTCTGCTCTCAACCGCCTGACCACAGAGAGGACAAGAAGCATCCCTGAGTTTCCCCACTTCAGCAGCTTATCTCTTGTGACAATGGCATTTCGAATGATAAGCCAGACAATTAAGCTGAACCGAGGAGGACAGTACTTTCCCCACACTAGGTTATACCATGACACAGTAGGAGCTCTATTTCTCAGAGTTTCCCAGACTCTTCGCACTGAATATTCTGTCATCTCCTTTGAATCCCAGAAAATAGTGTCATGCTGCTTAACCATCCAAGGGGAGATCACATCTCTCAGCTTTAAGAGTTTCCTCCAAGCCCATGAGCTACTGTATTGCACTCGGAAAGAGCAAAGATCCTGCTGTCTACACCTGTAAGCATTCATCCATGCGACCCATAATGTCCCTGAATTCATTAAGAAAAGCCAGAGCAACCGGGCTGAGCACGCTTGGTTCCAAGCACCTAGATCCCTCACTCCAAGCCCCCCTTCTCGTTTGGGCAGAGCCACATACTCCCAGGCTACCTTTGCTCTACCTTCATCTATACCATGCCATAAAAACTGAGAACAGATTTTCTGAATCTTTTTGAGAGCTTGCTTTGGTAAGATAAATAGCTGCATCCAATACTGAACTATGCCAAGAAGTACAGAATTCAGTAATTGAAGCCTCCCTGCATAAGTAAGTCTCCTAGCATGCCATGATCTGATGCGCTTGGTTAGTTTCTCCACAAGTATATCAATCTCACTTGACGAAAGCTTACCAGCCAGTAAAGGCAACCCTAGATACCTGACAGGCAAGCTCCCTTCCTGGAATCCAGATAGTGCAAGAGCATTACACTTATATAACACAGATTCTCCCCCAAAGTACACTTCACATTTGGCTGGATTACAGTTAAGGCCAGAGATCTGATATAAATGCTGAACAGCTTTGACCCGCAGAATAGCCTGAGCAGATCCTTTGGTGAAAATAAGCAGATCGTCTGCGAAACACAAATGGTTAAGAGCAACCCTCTTACAGTGAGGGTGAAAAGGCAGGGCCCCAGACTGGCTAGCCTCCTTCAGCATCGTAGAAAGCCCTTCCATGGCTGTGAACAAATATAGTGACAGTGGGTCACCCTGACGAACACCTTTCTTAGCTCGAAAAAATCCACAGAGACTACCATTGACATTAATACTATAGTGAGCAGTTTGAAAACAGCTCCTAATCCACACCATAAACTTCCCAGGGAATCCCATAGCAGTAATTAAAAATTTGTAGTGACCAAATGTGAACATATTTAGTAATCCTAGTGACCAACCTTGCAATTTACCCTTTTATTACTTATATGGGTTAATATATTTGTATGACCCGAACTTTTCACATATTGAACATATTGGCCAATCTTTTCGATCTATAACATCGTGGCCCGAACTTTTCACATATTGAACATATTGGCCAATCTTTTCGATCTATAACATCGTGGCCTCAACTATGCATCAAAGTTACGAAATTGGACAAACTCGAGATTTGACCGTTATCTTGTACGATCAAGTCAGCACAAGCCACTTAAAAATTTTGGTTTTTTCCACCTATTACCATTTATTTTTTTATTTTAAACAAAAGAAGAAAAAGGAAAAGAATTTAAAAAATGTCGGGAACCATTTTTTCCTTTTTTAAGTGGTAATAGGTGAAAAAAATAAAAAAAGTTAAGCAGTATGTACCGATGGCTGTGACGTGGCGCATTGACTAACCGTCAACGTATACAAATATATTAACCCTACTTATATCAATGTTATCAAAATTATTTCAAAATTATTTCAAATATATTAACCACAAAGAAGCAACTAAGAAGAAAACCAAATACCGAACAAAATCCATATGCTAGAGAAAGACATTAGCAAGCCCTTAAAGCACTAATTGATAACTAGTATAATGTCACAAGACAACCAAACAAAATAAAACAAAACATTTACACCAATTCCGATTCACATGACAATCCTATTATATAAGTGCCTAACAATGTTATTTATTGTTTTCTATTCGGACAAAGGAACCCTAACTCTCTCTTGACAACACTAATAGCCGATCGCCAACCCCAGAATCTCCTTTGACAAAGTCCAGAGAGAGAGCCTTTGCTGGCAACAAATTCCCTCTTACCATTTTCAACGATTCCTGACCAACTCACATACAAGGGGTTAGAGCAGAGGGTCAGCAAAATATCAAGAGAAAAGGCATTAACTCAATATATTCCAAGCTGGATTATCTTCTGAAAGACCTGCAACTAGAGGTTAAGTTCCCACTTTAGAAGAAGAGCTTATGCGCTGCCATAAGAACCTGATCACTAGCCCTATATACGAGCACCTAACTCGTCTAACACGTTTACCATACAATGAGCTCCAGTATAACACCAGTCTATGCTATGCAACAGTGAGAGCATCAACAGAAGAAAAACGCAGAATTGAGTTGTCTCGAAACATCTGTAGCAGTGTCATTTCAACCTACCGAAATCCGAATCATCTCTACGTTCCAATAAGGAATCGTCAGTGTGTGTATTGAAAGGAAGTACCATGTCAAGGAAGCGCTTCATGAACAAATATAACATGAACACAGATAGATATGAGCTGCAGCAGCAGCTTCTCCAACCTACCAAAAAGGCCTCGACATTCCAGGGAATTGCTTATATACCTTTGAATGCCTCGAAGGAATGCCAACCCCAAGAAACATCAGGAGCACTAAGATAACAAAATATTGAGAGCTTAACATAGAAAGTATGACAGAAACCAGAGTCCCAATGTGAACAACCTGTAGGACACAAACACAACAGCAGGAGACATGTCTCCAATTTCCATAATAATTTTGAAATGAAGCACTAAAAGAAAGATTAGCAAATAAAAAGCATAATATCGAAGCACCATTATCCACAAGAATATAATGATTTAAGTCCTACAAAACAGTGAGGAACATCAATAAAACTCCGATCGATTCTCTGATATGAGAGGCTCTGTGGATTGTAATAGCAGCACGAATCTCTGCAAATGTCATAACAGTACAGCAAGGTTAAAGATGTGAGTCCCAAACTTCAAAGTCATGGCAAGATGTAAGAAATCAGGTTGCTCCAAGAAACATCAGGCCTGAAAAATTATCCAATAACGACAAAAACAACTGATTAAGAAGTGTAAATAGAAAGAACATAGCATGAGATGGTATGACAATATAATCATATAGTGGATATATGTGATGGATAGGAATCAGCAGATATGAAGGCACATCATTATTCAATGATTCTCGGTTGTACAGTAAACTCACATACTGACATTCATCAGCTCCAACTAAGCAGAGCAATAGTAATGCAAATTCAGAATCCACCTCCAAGGCCATGAGAAGCATAAAAACATTATAGTACAAATATTGTTCACTTCATGTCAATGTGAAGCATCTCAATTCTCAATCACTTCACTGACAGAGGCATGATGACGACCACTAAATAGTACCACTAAACTTTCAAGGGTTTTATTTTTTTTCCCTTCTGAAAAGTAGAGGAATTGAGGAGTTGAAAGTAATCAGTTACAGTACTTGGGAATCCTAAGGATATACATTTGCCTCCAGGACTATAAGAACACAGGTGTTGCATGCTTCAGTTATACAGAAAAGAGAAAGTTGTAACTCGAGTTAAATGATAACTAGGTTACTCGTTGTGTACTTTCCTCAGTTATTTGGAAGATCAGGAAAGTGTAATTCTACCTCTAAGTGAAAAATTATCAGTTATAAGTACAACGTTTAATTTTAGCATGCATAAAATTACAGATGAGAACATACCTCTTAACAAATAGGTACCAGCAACACAAAGTGAGGCATCATTTCATCTCTGACATGAACTTTTCATACTCTGCATCAGCTCCATAGTTCGTTTTCTCTCCAGTGGAAGCTCCTGGAAGTGGCGGTTGTGGTGGATTTGGAGCCCAAGGTAAATTGCTCATCCCCTGGGAGTGATCACTTGTCGGCATAGGAGCAGCAGCAGGAGGAACTGCACTATAGTACGATGAGTAACCTAGAGAAGCTGTTGCATAAAGTGGTTGAACGGAAGATTGCATTGGTGGAACGTTCCCATAGATATTAGATGATGCAGGAGGCGGAGCAGAAGTGTGGTTCTCCGCCGAGACGCCTGGTGGGTAACTTTGTTGAGCTTCAGAAGTCACTGCTGGATTAGGAGCACCGGGAGCCGGAGGCACCGGTGGAGGATATTGCATGCCATAAGGTGCCATTGGGTGTCCAGGAGGAGGAGGAGGTGGTGGATACATGTTCGCACCGGGTGGGGGTGGAGGATAATGAGCATAGGGAGGCGGAACAGGTGGTCCCCAAGGAACAGGGGGACCTCCATAGCTCGGAGGAGGCGCAGCATAGTTCCCCGGAGGGACAGGTGGAAGAGGACCACCAGGGGTGAACTGCTGGGATGGATAGGCACCAACTGGTTGACTTGATACAGGGTATGTCAGCATGTTGGATGCAGGAGGGCCAGGAGGAACACTGGGCTGAGGAGGCTTACCAGCCACCCTCACAGCAATGGTCCGACCTTCAACACGAGCTCCATTCATGCCAGTAATTGCCGAATTAGCCATTTGAACATCACGATACTTGACGAAACCATACCCTTTACTCAACCCAGTAACCCGATCCTTGATTACCTTAGCCATCACAATCTCACCATATGCAGAGAATAACTGGATCAAACGATCATCATCAAAAGTAGGAGGCAAGTAGCCAATGTAAAGATTGGTATCATCATATTCCTTTGTTGATTTACCATCAGTGGCTCCTAGTCCGGCTTGATTTGCACTGCCAATACCCCCAGTGTTGTTAGCCCATGGAGGATTGCTTCCAGATCCACTTGACCCCAAGGCCAAGGTGGAAGTTTGCTTATTCGAGGACTCGGGCATCGTCCCACCCAATTCCGCCAAGAAGTTTTGGTATTCATCGTCCATTTTCTTCCCAGTTGTTCCCTTAACTGGGCAATCAATGGTAGGATGTCCACCATCACCACAAATCTTACAGAGCACATCACTCTTAAACGTTGTAGTCCGCGATGGACAAGCATACTGCCTGTGTCCAGGCTCACCACACAACCGACAATACTCTTCATCCCTAATCGTCCCATTCAAAGCAGCTAGTTCCCTAAGCTGCTGCCTCTTATGCTCGTTCAGAACCTCATCAACCGGTTGCAAAAGCTTCTCAACCATGCCAGCAGCAGCATCCAAGGCCTCCTGAGTCTCAGCCTCAACCAAAACATGCAAATCTTCATTCTCAGAAGGATCCGGCTTCAAATCCCTCTTCTGCTGCAGCCTGCCCTCCTTCACCGACCCTTTCCCTCGAATTACAATCTTAGCACCGGTTTCCCTCTCCATTCTTTTCTGCGTGTTCCCCCTAGGTCCAATAATCAATCCAATAAAGTTATACCCTGGGTATTCCTTCATTGGTATGTATAGCTTCTTATGAAGCTTTGGGGGCCTGTAGTCAGCAGGAGGCTTAAAAGCAGGATTCTTCTTGATGATCTGTGAAATAATCTCTTGCCTCTCTTTGTTCAACCTCTCCCTGGCCCTATACTCTCTAGTATTGATCCTAATTCCCATGTTATCATAAATAGGTTCAGGAGAAGGAGACCTAGCTCCTTCAGGTCTATCATCCAACGGCAAACCAGACTGTGACGTACCAGACTGTAACATCCTACTAATCTCGAGAAGCCTAGCATTCAAAGCCTGGATTTCGGGGTCGAATTCAATACCTCCGGTGAAATCCTTCATAAAATCAGGGAGCTGAATCACAGGCTTCGGCTCATCATCCGCCCACCTCGACTTCCTCTTCCGAGCACCACTCCCGGTTTCATTATTATTATTACTGCTACCGTTATTGCTCCCGCCTCCATCGGCCGCCTGATTGCCACCGCTACCGTCCGGCTGCGGGTCCCAGCGGCTCCTCCGCTTGCGACGGCTCGTAGTCTCCTCTTCGCCGCCGGAGAAGTCCCTGTCACCGCTGTTTGTGTTGGTGAGTCCATTCTCGGACAGGAGAGGCTTGGTGAAGTCGAGCCTAGGCTTGGGGAACTCGATCTGACAATTATTACCAGCGGCACCGAGACAGGAGTCGTCAGATTGGGGCGGTTTATCCGAATAAGGCGGCTCGGCAGTGTCCAGAGCCAGGTTTTCTGGCGGAGGAGAGGGATCTGAGAGATGGAACTGCGGGTTCGAAGCTTCCTCGACGACGGATTCCATGGAAAGAGGGAAGGGAGAGAGCAGGCGCTAGGGTTTTTGGTAAGATTGCGGGATAGATTGTGTTGTGGCTTGGGAAACGAGTTTACGGAGTATCCCCACGCGGCACGCCCACTCGCAGAACTCGTACTTGTGTCTCAAATCTAGTGATTGCTATTTGAACCCGTCCTGAATTGACCTGTTGCGATGGGCGGGTATTATCCCATCCGTATTGATGTGGGACAGGGTATGGATATTTAGTATTTACTTATGATCCGCTCTGTTCTGACCTGCTCCATTCTTGACCAAATTTTTTTCAATTTCTTATGATATCTATACATATTTCTTCTATTTTGACTTTTCTTCAACTAGTTAGAGCAAATTTTTCAATTTGTTTGACTCAATTACTCATTTTATTATCACTATTTTCATTCATAAAGTGTTTTCTCCTTCATTTTATCGCCAAAAGTAAAATTTGCTTATACTTTTCTCAAATAACATGTAATAGTGGGTCGACCCGCCTCGCCCCGTACCCACGCTGGTTTACCCGCCCCGACCCACAATATCGTGGGACGGGGCATGGGTATTAAGTTATCCGCCCCGCCCCGCCACATTGCCATCACTGCTCAAAACTGCTTTCCTTCCAAATGTATTAGTAAATGTAACCAGACTAGAGTCCAGAGATGGTAGGCATCATTATGGGCTTCGGATGAGTTTACATCCAGGCCCAATTCGATTCATCCAAGAAATATTCAAGGCTTCATTGAAAATCGAGTTCAAAAAATAAATAGAGGGCTTTCTGACTCACCAAAGAGCTATCTTATTATTTTGTATACTATCAAATCCAACATCAAACCTGAATACAATCCAAATATTGTCAAAAACTCTTCAATAGAGTGTCTTCCTTACAATATTGGGTAGATGCATAATTAATATTACCAATGATCACCTTCGCTTCCTACTCCAACAACAAACCATGAAAGTCGAGCTGGAGTACACCACCTAACTAAATCCCGAAGCGCCACTAACTCCACGAGAGTAGGATCCAAGGGTCCGTTTGGATTAGGAACTTTAATATGAGTGATTTAATTAGATATTTGAGACAAAATCACTCACTTAAAAACTCAAGAAATTTTAATGAGTTATTTGACCAATTTACTTATTTGTTTAAAATGAGGGATTTGGGCCCCCATCATACAAAACCCAAATTACCCTCACCTTCTTCCTCCTTCATCCTTCTTCGACCCCTTCTGAAATTGCAAACAAGGCAAAAGGAAATCAACTAATGTGTCCTCGCCTCCTTGGAACAGAAAGGCTCCTCGCTTGTAAACGACATCCACCTGAATTGATAAACGTCCTCAAACCGCAACTTCAGTACGGCTGAAGAATAACAACAGAGCAAACTCTATAACGCATAAAAGGGAATCAACCTCGTAGACTTGAATCGACGCTGCCAACATCGACGACTCCGTCGCTTGAGCAGGTGTTTTCAAGAATATTTGACGACCTTGAGAATATCCACACAATCTGTGTACTGGGATAGAGGGATTGGTTTGATTTAGATATATTTCTTGCCTTCTCTGCGTCTCTTCGAAGAACAATATGAAATCACCGACTAGCTGCTCAAAACCCCAATATCCAGCAACAGGTGTCGGATTCTTTGTGCGTAATAAGGAAAATCAGAAACCAGCGATGAAAATCTACCCACTAGATTCACGGTGACAACGAGACGTATACGATTGGAAGATCAGGAGGTGATGGCTGCGACGGATGACGTTGAAGGAGGTCGGGGTGAAATGCAAGAGGGAGAAGGGTAACATTTGGAAAAGCGGAAATAATAACGAGAGATTTCAAAATTTTTTATGGGCATCAACTATTTCAAAAACGACAACTGAGGGTTTTTAAAATCTCTAATTCCGAATCCTTGATGTTTTCCAAAGAAGTTATTTAGGGGAAATCAGGGAATGTGAGATACTGTGGCAAAACCCTGCACCACAATCCTGCCACAATCCCCCATCCAAATGACCCCCAAAAGCCGTTTATACACTACCCCTTTAACCAACACCCCTAACTCATTACAAGACCTACATTCTATTGAGACCAACATCAAACTGCTCCATCAAAGGAACACATCATCTCGATTGGATTTGATTGTGAGAACCCTTGAAAGACCAGAGGACGTTGAAAAATCTCTCCACTCATAGGATCGGTCACCGAAACACCCGACCACTCCTCCACCTACTAGATAAATTGACGAACCAATACCTAATTGTTAATCATAACGAATATCAAAACAGACAACATAAATCGACACAAAGAGTTAACGTGGTTCCCCCATTCAATATGAACGAGACTAGTCCACGACCGAAGCTATTGTATCCTCTTATTCAGCTTAGCTTCAATGAGTCTGGTTACAAGCATATATATACAAGCTAGAATAATAAACCCTAGCTCCTAAAATCGGCCAGCCCTAGCTTAACCCATACGGCTAAGATCACGTATGGGAAGTTGGGCCAAAGCCCAAAGTACATTACTCAATAGCCTCCCCCAAATTGATGAGGATCTCTCATCATCAATTTGCAAGAAAGATAGAAATGACGACTAGCCGAGAACGACTTGGTTAACAGATCACAATCTGGTCCTCGGAAGTGATATAGAACAACCGAAGAATGTCATCGGGAACTAGGTCCTGTATATAATGAAGGTGAACTTCGATGTGCTTCGTGCGGTCATGGAGAACATGATTTGTCGTACTCTGAATAGCACTAGTATTTTCAACATAGAGCTGGAAAGGAAGCCCACAATCGACCTCAAGATCACCAAGCAGACGCCATAACTAGACAAGTTTCAAAGAGAAATCAGACATGGCCATGTACTCAGCATCCGTAGAAGACTTCGAGACCCAATCCTTCTTTTTACATCGCCATGAGATGAAGGAATCACCCAGAAGTACACACCACCCGGTCGTAGACCGACGAGTGTCCACATATCATGCATAGTCTGAATCCAAAAATGCCTGCAGGACAAGAGAGCCATAAGAGGGAAGAAACAATCCAACCTCCTTCGTGCCTTGCGGGTACCTCAGAATACGATGTACGACAGCGAGATGATTAGTTCGAGGATCTGACATGAACTGCTGACAATCTGGACCGCGTAAGCAATATCGGGCCGAGTAGAAGTCAAGTAGATCAAACTCCCAATGACACTCATGTAGTGTTTACCCCCGTCAGATAACAGCTCACCAGACTCTCGGTCGAGCTTGAGACGAAGCTCCATGGGAGTCGAGACAGATGTACAGTCAGCAAACTGAGAGGACTCGAGAAGATCATTGATATATCGGGTCTGAAAAAGAAGGTTAACAGCGGGAGAACGCTTAACCTCAAGACTCGAAAAGTAATCAACATAGCCGAGATTCTTAAGGTTAAACGAAGCATGGAGACCATCTGTAAGAGTCTTAATCCCTGCGGAGTTATCACCTATGACTATCATATCGTCAACGTATATGAGCAACACCACCAGACCAGTACTTGTGCTATGTTTAAATAAGGGTGGGTCGTTGAGACTCTGTTGAAAACCAAGAGCAAGAATAGTGTAGTGGAACTTTTCAAACCATGCCTGCGATGCTTGTACGCCATGTAGTCCTGTTGGCGAATTGCAGGGACACCATGGGTTGTATTTAGGTAACCAGAGCGTGGAGCGAGAGCCGGAGCTGGAGCATGAGCGTCAGAGCGTCAATTTGTCAAGAATGCAATATTGAAAGCACGAGTAGAGCATTAATATTATCTTATTTTAATTATTTTTACTTAAAATATTAAGAAATATTATCACAATTGATAAACTCCTTCATCAACATAAAATAGAATGTTTCAAGAATTTCCCATAAAATATATTTCAAGAATTAATGGAATATGAGAAATTTATTACAAATTAAAGTTTTATGCGAATATTATTTTAATCGAAAAATAAATAATGCAAGAAGGTCATTATCAAAAGATAATGCAAGAAGGCTACGAGCTAGCAGGTAGGCAACGAGCTCGTTATGGTAATTTTAGTTACCTCAAAACCAATAGCAATTCTCAAAAACAATAAAAAATTATGTCTATCTTTTACTCCCCTACCCCACTGCTTCCTTATCTTTAGGGCTGTCACCGGTCTAACCGTTAACCGCCGGTTAGCGGCCAACCGGAAACCGAAAATAACAAGTAGCGGTCGGGTTTCGGAGTTGGTTATTGGTGTGACGATTAGCCGATAAATCGACGCCGATTAACCGGCTAATCGTCACTAACCGACCGACCTTTTACGACGTCGTTTTGCCATCCCCTTTTACACCCCAACACTAGCGCGCCTTCGTGTTCCTCCAATCCTCCCTCACACTGTCACACACACAACGCCCAGCCGCCCCACTCCCACACAGCACAGCAGACAGCAACGGCCAGCGGCGATGACTCCCCTGCGCGGCTGCACCCCGCCGCCTCCAATCGCGGCGACGACCTCCTCCTCCCGCTCTCCAATCGCCTCGCCGCCTCCAATCACGGCGACGACCTCCTCCTCCTGCTCTTCAATCGCCGTCGCCGCCTCCCTCCAATCGCGCTGCCCCTCCACCCACCGCGCTGCCCGCCATCACCCGCCGTGCCGCCCGGCGACTCTCGTATCACGAGGACCGGCGGTTGCTGCTTTGGGAACTCGGGATCTTTCGGTTGACGGGGAGCTTTTTCCACCTCCATCCCCCAAACTTGCAACAACAACAGTCAACAACCCTCCTCCCATAACCGCCACCACGTTTTTGTTCCCCCAAATTTCTTGTATCACGAGGCCCTCCTGCAGTCTGCTCGACTGCTCCTTGATTGAATAATATTATGTAACTTTATTAGAAATTTAGAATGATGATTTAGAGTGAATGGTGATTTTATTTAAGAATGAAGAATGATGATTTTGGTGAATGATGAGGATTTTGAATGAATGATGATGATTAATACTATGTAAGTTTATTAGAAATTTGGAATGATGATTTAGAGTGAATGATGATTGATTATGAAAGAAGAATGATGATTTTGGTGAATGCCATTCACGTGGAAATGAGATGTCATTCTGCTTATAAGTTATATAGGTTTAGTGATGATGAATG